TGCAGGAGGAATACCAGCTAATTCGAGTTAGGGCTTTAAATTGGAATCCCGTTTCTCTGCTGCCTGTAGACGCGGGCAGTTACTTTGGGCTAGTCAATTTCTAAAATGGCAACCGGCTGGGAACATGCAAATCAAGCACGGGATATTCAAATCCTGGGCTTGATTTGCAATTCCCGTTGCCCTCATTAGCCACCCTAGATCGATCTAGGGGGCTAGTATAGACGTATCCTTAGAGAACAGGAACAAGGCCATGTGATTTGTGTCTAGTCAAAACTAACCAATAGAGAATGAATGTCCTCAAACAATTTTCAGTAACAAACACATTTCAGGATGGAGCAATTCCTCTAGTTCCATTGCAGATACCTCCCTCCTATGTAAAAATGGTGTTTCAAGAAGATCCTCTGTCTAGAGATAGTGCTATCCAGAATTCTCAGACCTGCTACATTCCAAATGAAGGTACCTCAAAATCCTCTTGGAGCATGTGCCATATCTCAGTAAAATGACTGGGGAAATGTGCCATAGACTGAAAAGATCAGATGAGGGCCAATACTGTATTACAGCATGTTACTCTTCTGGCTGACTAAGGAAAAAAATTATTGCACCTCTCTATACTTTAAACTTTGTCTACTGAAATGGCACAGAAAGAAGTTCTACAAGGGCTTTTCAAAGCCAATGGGGTTGATTTACAGCTTCAGCACTATTTATTTTAATCTTAAGGGGGTGGGGGGAAATGGGATATAATGATACATAAAGAAACATTATTTCCCAAAGGTGGATTTTATTTCTTCAACAATTTATAAAGCTCCACAAGTAATATACTACTATTTTGGGACAGGTATTATATTTCAATGAGTTTAGCAGCTGACAGGCTTGTGCATATATTTTGTACTATATTCATGGTTCAAGGCCCATTGATTCAGCAATGGTACACAGGCCTTGGTAGTGATGGTGTTGCATTTAATCATCAGATTTGGGAGTTAAAATAACAAACTGCACACTGAAGAATGTCTAGATTAAATTTGGCAAGGAGTAAAATGAATTTTGCACCCACGAACAACTCTGCCAAGTAGTTTAGCCACCACATTTGACTTAATGGTGTTCAAAAAGTATTCCCAAACATTACTACCATAGCTCTACCTATTGCACTGTCAAAATTAATTATGGTGACACACCAATAAGGAAAAAAAAATCAGCATCTTGATTTTAATACGCTTAGAAAGTTGGGAAGAAGGGGTGTGGCTTTAACATTTGCATATTCTTCTTAGCATGTGTACAATGTGCCCTGGGTGGGACATAATCAGGATTCATCACTGAATTTGGTCTGCTGGGTGGATCGTTATTAGTTTCCCCAGCTTTGGCTGGGTACGGGTTGGGCGTGTGAGGTGAATGCTCATCCATGCTCCTCCTTATTTGCACATTAAGACAGAACAAAGGACAACTTTGGTCCTTAAAACTGTACTTGTGTTTTACTGACACACAGCAACAGTAGATATGTGGAGGCACTATAGAAATATATGCACAATTGTCTTAAGCAGGAGATTCAAAGCCAAGAGTGTTCCTGTTCAAATCAATGTGAAGGATGAAACCTATCATACAGAAGTGGAGACCTTACAAGCCTGCCAACTTCTAGATTAACTATATTTGCTCAGATCCCAGTTATCAATGAATTTCCTTCTTCAGTTGGTCCTCGTTACAATAATGAGAATGATCAAGTGAGAGTATAAGTAAATCCTTGCCCGCACCTGTATCCCCACCTCTTTCTGCCTGGAAAATCTGAAACTGTACAAGTAACAAGAGGGAGGAGACATGGAAAACCTCCCTTTGAGGATCTAGGGAGTAGCCTGAGCAACAAGGCAGGCAAGATCCTCTTGCTGAACTGAATTATGGGTGAAAACTAGTGAAAGGGATGAACAATGTGTCAGGGAGACTCTGAATGCTCTCTGCCATGGAGAATGGAATTAGTTTGTTTGTCTTACCAGTTTCCTCTTCATTTGAGGGATGAGGAATCCAGGTAGCACATTGATAACCAGGGAAGAAGGAGGGATTCGTTAAGCAAAAAAGCAGGTCAGCAGATGCACATAACCTTTTGTGTTGAATATGCTGTTTTCAAAAGCATAGTGTTGGAGTTTAGGAGTATGCCCTTCATTTTTCCGACCTACAAAGTTCTGTCTCTATAAGGGATGGTAAGAAGCATTCAATTCATTTATTGAGTAGTCAACAAACATTTTGTTGACTACATAATTCATCAATAAGGTTAGCATTGCAAGCACTTGTCCTGGCAACTACCCCCTGATGCAGTAGTTTGCTGGGACCCTGTATGAGCCAGGACTGAGATTGCCAGCTCCCCAGAACCTTAATAATGCAGACCCACTGTGGACATAGTTGCTGGGACCCGGTGCAAGCCAGGACTGAGCCAGCCTGCCTGCTTGCTGGCTCCTAAAGTGCATCTAATACAGAGCCACGGTGGGGTTGAGGTTGGGACTCAGTTCAGTGCAGGACTGAGAGAGCTTGCCTGTGTGCCGGCTCCCCAGAACCATAATAATGCAGCACCACAGTGGGAATTGCTGACAGGATCTGGCACGAGCTGGGACTGTGCCAGTCTGTTGGCCAATTGACTCAAATTTTACTTGAAGAGCCATGAGGGTGGGAAGAGAGGAGGGGGGAGGTGGAATTGCATGTAGCCAATAGCGCTAAACAATAAGAACCCACTTATCGGTTACATCCCTAGTGTCTATTCAGTTCAGGTGTCATTGTATTTCTTTCTTACTATACATACATAGTAGCTTAGTAGCTAGTAGTTGCTGTGTGTGTGTTTGTTTGGCTGTACCATCCAGTTAGAAAAGGCATGGAGTTCTGATGGAATGCAATAACATTGTTTGTGGAAACCACATTGCTCAGTGAAAATCTAGTAATGCAGTGTATAGTGGAATGGATGAGTTCAGCAATAAAACATCCAGAAAGCTGAGTACTGTAGGTTTGCTTGAGATTAGTGAGTAGATACTGCTCTTGCTCAATGGTTTTGAAAGCTGATGGTTTGGAAAATAGGGACCAATTATACTGACTTCCGTTAGGAGACTGCTAAGGAAAAAGTCTGCTGATTCTACAGTTCCTAGGAATGGCCACATAGTTTGTTGATCCCTATAAGCAAGAAGCCAGGTTTTAAATGCAGCAGGAGGAATTGAATCGTTGATGTTTTCTAGCTCAGAAATTGGGCTTTAGCCAGCTTATTCTTCCTCTCTCACAAAGGAGAGTCATAACTTTGCTGGAGCCAAATAACAACGACAGGACCTGGAATGTACATTTACCACACTATATCAGCCAATGCCAAGAGTGAACTTTGGCTGCCAGATGTTTGTTTTCCAGAATCCAGAGGATGCAGATGTCCTTATTCACCAAGCAAAGGTGAAGATCTCTGATATAGTTTGGGAGCTGGTACCTGAAGACATAGGACTAAACTGTGATTGGGACAATGTCTGAGTGCAAGAGAGTGAAAATTCCCCTTTTTCTATGCAAGTTACCCAAAGCTTGGATCCATAATAATAATTAAAGCTTGGCATGTGCTTCTTATTCCCACCCTGGAGAAGGTGGGTGAAGGTTTGTGTGGAGCCTTGCCTTCTTCCCTCTAGAAACCCATATGGAACTTGGAGGGTGGATCATAGACTGCAAGAAAGAAGAGTCAAATGATTTGCATGTTGCTTGAATACAAGCTGCAGTCCGACTATCTCTGTATCCAGTTCTCTTCAGTAAAGAGCTAGTTTAGTTTTAGAAACATGGAGTCCTTTTCTGTTTCCCAGGATACTGTATATGCTGGCAGCAGTCAGTGTAGTGAAACCAACAGCAAATAAAAGAGGGTCAACAAGCAAACAAAGCAGACCTAGAAACAAAATAAACAGGCAGCATGGATGGACACAGACCACTAAGAATGCTCATTTCCAGACAGAAAGCTTTTTTAATTTTTTTTTTGTCATTATTGTTGCTGAGAATATTGCCCAGAACACTGGAAGAGCTGATAAAGATGGTTGGGGGATACTCCCAGATAAAAGGAGGTTGGGCACAGATATTGGGGTTTTTTTAACCCAAACTCAAGAAGCAGAAAAAGGAATAGACTAGCCCCTCTGATGGAAGGGGAGCAGCAGAGAGGGCAATTGCCCTGTGGCCTGGTGATTCTTAGGAGCCTGGGACTCCTGGCCACTGTTGCCACCGTTATTGTGACAGCAGTGGGCTGGAGAATGGAAGGCCCTTTAAATTGCCACTGGAGCACTTCTCTGCGTGGTTCTGAGGGCAGGGTGGGAAGGGGGGACAATGCCGTGGTCTGGGCAGTGCTGAAGGCTGGCTGCCCCGACTCTGCCATCTCTCCGCCCTCTGCCTGAGGCCCTGCCCTTTCCAGGGTCCATATGGAGCTCCCCACAACTTTGCTTGGGGGCCTGCAGAAGCTGTTGCCCCCGTTTCCAGAATAGCCACATTACAGAGCTGACAACTCACATCCACATGTGACTCTGATGATATTAGATTCCCTTATTAATGATAGGATCATTTTGGCATATATAATTCCAGTTTACAGGAGAAACTGTAGAGAAACACAGATCATGGAGGAATGCCTCCAAATAGGAAGACCACCCGCACTGCCCTAAGTGGGCTATATGGGTAAGTCTAGACTGGCACTATTTCGGGATATTTCCGGTATCCCAAAATAGCTATTCCACATCTTTTGAGCATGCCTGTTATTATAGATTTTGAAAAACGGGCTCACTATTCTGATGTCCCTGTAACCCTCATTCCATGAGGGTTAAGGGATATTTCAGAATAGCAGTTTATTTCGCTGTCTACTGTGTAGACAGCGCCAAATTTCAAAATAAGCTATTTTGAAATTAAAGTGAAATAAGATGCAATTTGTGTCGCTCAAATTGCGTTTCTTATTCCAAGTTAACGGTGCAGTGTAGATGCACCCTATTAGAACTCTATTATGACATCACCCAGGCTTTTTGTCTCGGCTGCATTGTGGGAAGAGGTCTGGAAAAACTCCAATTACTCAGGGTAACTGCCATCCAAAACTGGCCCTGACCATGTCACAAGAAATGCCTAGGCATAATGGGGTACCACAGGGGATTTATCTTGCATTTTGACAGATAGGTGAGTCCCCTGACAGACTTGATGAAGATGGGCTGATGCAGCAGAGAGGGTATTCACAGACCTGAGGTCTGCCCTCTGCAATAACCCCATACATATGGCCCTAGATTTCACCAAGAATTTTATCCTGAAGATGGATGTGTCTGAGATAGGTTTAGGGACCATCCTCTCACAGGTGGTCAGTGAGGAGGGACATCCAATTTTCTACCTCAGTAGTAAACTTCTTCTGAGGGAACAAAAATACACTGTGATCAAAAAGGAGTGTCTCAGTGTTAAATTGGCCATGGAAACGTCACATTACTATCTGCTGAGGTAGTTGTTCTTGTGACCAGTAATGACCCTCTTCAATGGACACACAGAATCTCAGGGCATGTCTACACTACAGCACTAATTCGAACTAACTTAATTTGAATTAGTTAATTCGAACTAAGCTAATTCAAACTAGTGCATCTAGACCTAAAAACTAGTTCGAATTAGCATTTTGCTAATTCGAACTAGCTTGTCCACATTGAGTGGACCCTGAACCGAAGTTAAGGCTGGCCGGAACAGGTGCCGGCAGGGCATCAGGTTAGGACTGAGAGCGTGGAGCTGCTGCCTCAGGCTAGCCGAGGGCTGTGCTTACGACCTCCACCCCGGACAGACAGTTCTCAGGGTTCCCCGCTTGCTTGTCTACCTCGATGAGGGACAGCAAAGCAGTCCTGTCTTGGAGTGCCCCGAGTGCCTGCACTCGGTACATTGCAACATTTGGCAGTCAACCCGGCTGCACTTGTTGCAGGCTGCCATCCGGGGGGGTAAATCGGGGGGCTGCAGGAGAGCTTCCACCCTGAGGAGCCCACAGAGCCACCCCAGTCCTTCCCATCGGGGGCTCGTGCCCCATTCCTCCCTCACCTCCTTCCACTTACCCCTTCCTAGCCCCCCTTCCTGATGTAAAAAATAACGGACATTTTATTTAATATTTAACTAAACTGGGGGGGAGGGGTATTAACCTCTGGGGAGACTGGGAAAAGGAGGTGGGAGAGGGGAAGAGAGAGGGTGGGAGAGGGGAGGGGGCAACCTGGGGGGAGGGAG